AGGCCAGGTCACCTCGGTGGGAGTGCCCAGGGTGCGAAAGATCTGGAAGAGCTGATCGATCTCAGAGTCCCCTGCAAACAGGGCCTTCCTGGTCATCTGGGGGAAGAAAATAAAAAGCCAGTTCCCACCTTTCCATCAGTTGTGTGCCCTATTTCCTGCTGCAAGCAACCCTCTGTCCCAGCAGGTGCAAACAACTGCACAGACCAGAGCAGTGGCAATGCAGTGATTCTGCCAGGCAGTAGCTGGGAGCATCACGGGTGTCTGACTGCTTGCTCCCACTCTTGGCTAGCTCTCTCCTGCCTGCTCTGCAGCTCAGGGACTTTGGGAATGAGGAAAAGTGCTATTATACTGCAGGGCTAACCACAGCTCTTCCAAGGAGTATGGACCCCTAGGAGATCCATTCTGCCATGCCATGAGAGTGCTTGTTCTCTGCAGCCCACCATGGGGACATCTGGAAGAGAGTCACCTCCTCCCAGGGCCAAAATGCTGCAGCAATAAGGGTGAAGTTATCCCTTTTGCAAGGAGAAGCATTATGTTCCAAGGTACTTGGAACTGCAGCCTTCTGCCAGGCCCCCAGGGTGGTGGATTTCCTTCTGAGATAAGGACCAGATAACCCTTAGGGTGGACCTTCCATAAAGCACAGCCCAGGACAAGGTGGGAACACAGTATCCCAGATGGTCTGCATTTCATCCCTCCTTCCCACTGCAGCTGCCTTCTCTGGTTCATGAAAGAGATTATTTAAACCCATCCTACCATTTCTGCAAAGATGCAGCCGATGCTCCAGATATCCACAGGGGTCGAGTAGTATCTGCATCCCAGCAGTATCTCAGGGGCTCGGTACCACAGAGTCACCACCTGGAAAGGAACGAACAAACAGGCTTTGTCTGATTTCCCTGGATGAAACCAGAGGCGTGGGACCCTCCCTTCTCAGCTGTAATGCTGTGACTGTACGAATCAGAGCATGCTAAGGCCTTGCTGAATTTACAGACACTAGTGCCTGCAAATTAGCACTGAATTTGGGATTTACGGAACACTCTTCAACAACACACTCTGGAACAATTAAGTGTACCCTGTGGAGAGAAGGTGGGAGCCCAGCTGGCAGCCTGGCCCCAGTAGAGACAGTCAGCACACCTTGTGGGGACATGGAGGTCCTTTAGCTGCAGGTGAGGTTAAGAGCACATTCCTGGCATTGCTGTGCTTCTGTTATAGATGAGCAACTTGTGCTGCTGCTGTTCACCCACTTTGGATTTTGTACCCCACTCAGGAAGCCTTGACATTACCTCATGAGTGTATGTGCGTAGGGGGACCCCAAAAGCTCTTGCTAGTCCAAAATCAGCCAGCTTGATTGCTCCTGCTTCGTTAATGAGCAAGTTCTGTGGCTTCAAGTCCCTGTGGATGACCCTGTGCGAGTGGCAAAAGCTCACACCTTGCAGCAGCTGGAAAAGGTAGTTCTAAGGAGAGAAGAGATTTCAGGTAAGGCCATGATGAAAACACTTTGAACTCTGGATTGTGTGAACCAACGCACTTTGGATCTCTCGTAGATCTGAATGGGAAGAAAGCCCTTGTTTCAGTGCAACATCAGGGTTATGGGCCACTACTCAGAGATACACACAAACTGCTGCCACACCACATGGGGACAGAGAGACTTTGGTCCAGGCACTGTCAGTCTCTTCCACCCACCCATTACTGTCTACAAAGGCAATTAGTAATAGATCCCTCCTTTGTTCTGCAGTGAGATAGGCTGGAGAGCCTGGAAACTGCTTGGAAATAAACATTTCAGAGCAATAGTGCCCTGAAGGTTTCCCAGCTAAAATGTTTGAGACCTGGGAGGCTGAGGAACAATTTCCAGGCCCAGTCTGAGCATCTCTGAGATGACTCCATCCAGCAGAAGGTAGCAGGGACATGCTATCTGCCCTGCCTGTTGGCATTCCTTCCGTGCTGTACCTTGACCAAGCTTAAAGGAAGCTCTCCAGCTTGGCATGAGTCCATGTACTTCTTCAGGTCCTGATTCAGATACTCAAACACCATATAGAGCTTCTTCTGGCTGTGTATGACATCCAGGAGCCTGTAAAAGAAGTACAGGCCCTCCCTTCAATATCTGCTCCAAACCTATGCAAATACCCAAACATCCCTCCTCCCACACATGCCTCTGCTCTGTTGGTCCTTTGGAGAAGAGAGGGGCAGTTTAAGGGAAGAATCTAGTATGGGGCAGCAGCAGTGTGTTGGTGAAGTGGCAGACCCATGAGGTATGTCTGAAAACCAGGGAAGTTTAAGGGATTCCTGCATTTTCCTCTGTATTTTTGTCCTGCCTATGCAGTTGGGGAAGGACAGAAAAACCTGCTTGTTGCCTGCTCCTGGATGAGTTGGTGGAAAGGGTGCATCCAGGTCTTACCTGACTATGTTAGGGTGCTTCAGCTCCTTCAGCAGTGAGATTTCTCTGATCGCGGTGCTGGGGACACCCTCTGACTCCCTGTGGCAGAGACAGGCTGTACTACACCCCATAACCCAGGGGGATCCCACAGTCCAAGTGAGCGCTTTGTCCTTTCCTTCTTCCACTGTACCCCAAGGGAGCATTTGAGTTTGGGGTGGAGTAATGGCTGGGGTGGGCTGGGGTGAGTCAGGGGGAGATGGAGTTGTGGGCAAGGAGAGGGAAGGGATGACCTAGACATGCAAGCCTTGGGGCAGAGCTTGTTTGGAAGCACCTGAGGGTGCATTTAGAGAAGCAATCATGTATAAATTACCTAGGTCTCTTTTTGGAGGTGGGGGAAAATGAAAGCTTTTCACCCCTCAGGCAGCCACCTCCTCCACGCTGAGGGGCCACCATGGGGTGCAGCCCCAGTATATTGGCTCCCAGACACCCCTCACTGTGCACACACCTCAGAGCTGATCCAGGGCAACAGAAATAAGCTTTTACCTGCTCAGTCCCACCCTGCAGGGCCGAAGCTGACCCTGCCTGACCCCACAGCACAGCCCTGGAGATAATACCTCACAAAATGGCAGCTGCTTCCCCTTGCCCTGTGCCGTGAACCTGGGGCCCAGTGGTGCCAGGTCAGGCCCTAAACACTCACACTCCAAGATTTTGAGCTGCTGGCTCAGCAGTGGGTTAAATCAGCCCTTTTTTAGGTCACCTGAAAGTTGGGGTCTTCCCTGTGGAAGTTGTTTTTTCCCTGTGGACCCCCACAGCTGCCACACCCATGAGACACAGAGCCCCCAAGCCCTCCAGACAACTTTCCCCTTGGCTCTGCCACAATGCACACAATTATTTTAATCCTAGAGAAGCTTTTTCCCCTCATGCCAGGCTTCTTCGTGCCTCTCGCCCCACACTGGGCGCAGGGCTGGCGCCATGGCAGTCCCAGGGCTTTGCCCCACTCACGCGTCCAGGCGGATCTTCTTGAGGGCCACCAGCTGCCCCGTGCGCTTGTTGCGAGCCTTGTACACCACGCCATAGGTGCCCTCCCCGATCTTCTCCACCTTCTGGAACGATGCCTGGGTGGCCTCCATGGGGCTGCCTCAGCCTGGCGATGGAGTGAGGGCGGCTCTGAGGGGAGGGGAAAAAGCGGGAAGGGAAAAGGTTAATTTTTGGGAAAGCGTCTGAACACCCTCAGGGGTCCCGAGGTGCTGCCGGGCTCCGAGGTGCTGCCGGGCTCCGGTCCCACCTTGCTGCTCCCTCAGCCCTCAGGGAGCCCTCAGGGACCTGCCGGGGCAGCTGTGAGGGGACAGGGCAGCCTGGTGGGCTCGGGGAGCTTCAGGCGGACAGAGCCACACAGGAGCCACCCAGCATTCTGCTGCCCAAGTTGTGCTGTGTGCTGGCCACAGCTAAAAATTGAGGGAATTGATGGAAAGATGTGCTTTGGGGCTTCTGGAGAAGCAGCACAAACTGCACAGGGCCAGGAGAAGCTCTCCTGCTCCATCTGCACAGCGCTGGGCATCGCTGGAGTAATTGTGTTCATAATTCTGGCTCCCTGGGAGCGTTGGTTGTTCTGCTGCCCAAGTTGTGCTGTGTGCTGGCCACAGCTAAAAATTGAGGGAATTGATGGAAAGATGTGCTTTGGGGCTTCTGGAAAAGCAGCACAAACTGCACAGGGCCAGGAGAAGCTCTCCTGCTCCATCTGCACAGCGCTGGGCATCGCTGGAGTAATTGTGTTCGTAATTCTGGCTCCCTGGGACATGCTGAGGGCAAACAGCCAGCAGAATGTGAAATGGGAATGTGAAAAGCAGAAATGTCTTTTTAATTGTTTGGTTGGTTGGTGGGCAGGGGGAAGTTTTGGTGTGGAGTTTTTTTGGGCTTTTTTTTGTTTGTTTGGGTTTTTTTGTTTGTTTTTTGGGTGGGGTTGTGTGTGTGGGTTTTTTTGTCTTTTTTTTCCCCCTTTTATTTTGTCTTGCATAATTGTCCCTTGCACCTCCCCAACATGGGCTGTGCTGCTCAGTCAGCCTTTTGGGAGATGTCCTTGAAGGGGAATTAATCATTGACTTGATAGCTGGCAGAAGACGAGATTAAAATAATTTTATGTATTGTGGCACCAGGAAAGGCAGAGGCAAAAGGAATTTCATCTGGAGGACTTGGGGGCTCAAAATCTTTTGAGTGCAAGCAGAAAAGGCTGGAGATGGCTGTATTCCCCTGCAAACCACAGGCATGGTCACACCGAATTTGGGGATTTCTACAGTACAGGAGAGTCTTCCCTGCCTTACACAAACATTTGATTCTCATCTGACATTAGCAATCTTTTGTCCTTGTGTCAATGGTTTAATACAGCTGTGTGGGCCTGGCATCATGTTCTTCAACCAGAGTGGCTCTGATGTAACTTCATCTCCTTTTCTTGCAACTTTTTTAAAAAGTTCCACTTTCATACACACCCAGTACACACACATAGCCACTTCCATACACACCCAGTACTTAGGAGGAAGAAAACTGAATTTTCTCACGTCATCTATAGGGTTTGTGTAAGGCCTAGCACATTTGACTTGGGAAGAAAGAGGGATTTAATAAATAAAAAACAGGCTCCCTTCTTTTTTCATCTTTATTTAGAAAAATTTCATTCAACATCTTTTGATACTTCAAAAATAGTGATTTAAGGTCTCTCAAACTTAGTTGTGTCAAGGAAGAAAGTCAAGTACTCAGGGTACGGCAAATATTTATTTTAGAGTTAGAATTAATCCTCCCTTTAGATACCAGTTCTTCCCACCTGAAGAGGCAGGTGCTACTGAAAATAGTGACTCTTTGTTCTTCTTGTTTCTTTGGTCAGTCCAGCTAGGTGAGTGTTTTGCCAGGAATGTTCCTGTGTGGCACTTGAGTCAGGGTACCCCAATATAAGGCACTCCTGGGCCCGCAGCCAGGCAGGGCTGATGAACTTTGTGCTAATACCCTTTTCCCCCATCTGCCAAAGGTGAGCTGCTTAACTCCAGATACCTCTTCTGACTTCATGTCATGCATTACGAAAGAACCAGTGTAACCCAAGTGTTCCCTTTCCTTAACCACCCTTTCAAGCAAACAACAAACCTGCTTCCCAGAGCAATTGTCAGTCATGACACCTAGGGCAGGAATGGACAACCCACAGTCACACACATTGACTCAGTCTTCAACTGTTTACCTGCTCAGTGACTTTGCTGTTTGCCACAGCATACACACCTTCTAATTTACTTTTAACATGTTTGTTGCAAATGGTTCTGCAAGGACCAGCGTGTGGCTGGTCTCAGAGCTGCTGTCAGGATGTGCTGTTTTCCCTCTGCTCCTGCCTCTCATTGAAGTATTTCCTCTGCTCCTGTATGGCTTGTTCCAGCAGGGCCACATTCATCCCTTCCACGCAGGTCAATATTCGTGCTTTTATCACAGGACTGGAGGTTTCTGGAGAAAGGAAAACAGAGCGAGCATCCTGGAGACAGAGAGTTTCCTCAGGCAACATATGACTGCAGCTGGGCAAATAACCACAGCCTGAGAACTTCAGGAGACCAGATTGGCTGCATGCCACCACTGATGTGAGCAGCAGGAGCAGCTTAATTCAGTGACATGCTTTCCCTCTGCCCTGATGGCTGCAAAATGCGAGTGACTGACAGTGAATTCCCCTTACACTGGGGAACAGTGCCAGTGCCTGCCATACAGCACCTGTCTACTTTGTGGCTGGATGCACTTTGGCTTTCCCTGGCTGAAAAGCAGCAGTGATGGGTCTGAGCTCATTTCTGAATGCCCCGTGCAGAGGGCTTAGAAGATACTCAAGGCTGGTTGCAATCAACAGCTCATTGGTGGAATTTAAGTGGGAACATGGAGCTGCACAGAAGGGGCCAAACTGTGGTGACATAGCCCTGGTGACACAGCCACCATCTTAGTCTACTCCCCTTCCACCCCTGCAAAATGGGGCAAACTCCCTCCTAGACTGGGATGACAAAAGTAACAATTTTCTAAAGAGATTTTGCAGCAGTGGCTTAACAGGTTACTCTCTAGAGGCCACGTGAAGTGTGGCTTTCCACATGCCACTGAGGACTTCTACAGCATGAATGTGAATGTTTTTTATCAGGTGTGGCCAAGATAACAAAGAATTTGCTTCACCATGCCATGGCCCAGCTCAGATCAACTCCCCATGCAAAGCATCAAGCAGCTGGAACATAGGGCACCCCATGTGCCCTATGGAAAGGACAACAGGGTGCCCTGCATGACAGTCTGCCTGCATTCCTCATATGTCTGAGGGCAGGGATAATATATTATTAGAGCCTTTCAAGGATGGCAAAGACCAACCCAGCCACTTGCAAAGAGGTATTGTTGCAATCTGCCACGTTTGGGTTTAAGATGGTTGGTGTGGTGGCTGGCAGTGATGCCAGGCGGCTTTTTAGCATAGGTTTCACAAGCCCAGCAATGTGGTTGAAATGCTTCCCGTTTCTAAAAAAATCTGTGCCAGAGGATCAGATTTTCACCAAGATAAACGTGGCTCTTCTCATGGTCAGCTGGGACAGACAGGCTGCTCCTACTTTGAATCACGTGGTCGTGTGATGGAGGAGTTGCACAAGAGGAGTCTTGGTCCAGGCTGCTCTCAGTGACTCAGGGAGCCCCGAAAGAGCTGATGTACCATGAAAAGCAGCAAAGGGCACCAGTTCCCGGAGCATTTACCTTCCCTGTGTTCAGCCTCTCCCAGGACCATGTAGGAAGATCCCACTTGGGCTTGGAATGGCTCCACAAACTCGGTGTCAACATAGACCAGGTACTGAGCTGAGTTGTGCTGTGTGGTTAGAATGGCTTCAGATCGGGCCAGGTCATAGCAGCATAACCTGGGAATGATCAATTTGGGAAGCTCAGCTGTGCAGAAAACCAAGTACAAACCAAAAGGGGGTGCTCAGTCAGTGAAGGAAAGGCCTGGCCTGAAAAGGAGAGCAGGGTACCCTTCTCACCTGCCAAATGTCCTCAGTGTCTTCCCCTCGGGGACCGAGCTGTTGATCTCCCACGGGAAGTAATAGACACCAGCACTTGGCAGCATCTCACACAATGGCTGACCTGCAGTAAAGCAAAAAGTCTGACTCCATGATTCTTCAGTACCTGATCCAAATGTTAAGTGATCCTGGCCTTCAACTCCTTCCCTGCCCAGGTTCCACCATCCAGGGGGCTGCAAGAGCTTCACAGCTTCCTTGCTGAGTCCTAGTTGTGGCTCACTGCATGTGCCAAGCCCAGGGCATCCTGGCACAAAGAGGAGCTGCCTAGTCCCACACAACCCAGCATGAACTACAGGCAGCTCACCAGGTCCTTTGGGTCTCCTCCAAGGTATGGATAAGTTGAGAAAGGTTCAGGAAGTGGGGAGAATAGTGACTGTGCACTTCAGAGAGTGTGAGGGACTGATACTGGGATAACCTCAGCTGCTGGGGTGACAGCGTACTATGCAGCAAGATTTAAGGAATGATCCCAAGCCTGTTCTCTTACTAAAAACATTTAAAAGTTCTGTCTGATCCTGCAGCTGGAGAACAATAAACTGGATCCAAGCCAGGCTAGTTTTGTCAGAAGTCTGGCAGGGTTTAGCAGACAGCAAGGAGTGAGAAGGATGAATTCCAAGACAAGGCTCAGGTGGGACCTCCTAGGAGCCTCTGCGGTGGAGCAGGGCTGGCACAGGCAAGTCAGCTACAGCACAGAGCACACAGAAAGGCAGGAATGCAAAGCAGCTTCAGCCAAGTTCTAATCCTGCCCAGTCAGTGTCATAGCCATGCTCCTGGCTGTGCCCTGAAGTGGTTTTTTTTGGCATCATTTTCCTTCTGATCTCCCTTACATGCTGCCTGTGTTTGGAATGTTTCCATGCTTCATTTAGTGCTTTTCTCTTAATTTTATTTATTTTTTTGCCTCTCTGTAGGGGCCCTCAAGGACTGCACAACAGCCCAGGCAGGGAGTCCTGCCACTCAAACAAGTGGGTCCATCGATGGGCATTCAAGGACCCCCAACACTGTTTATTCAGCAGAGGGGACAGTGAGTTGACACACATGCTGTAGCTTTAATGCTTGGTGACCCTTGCCCACCCCATGCATTGCTCCCGGGGTTGCAACCTTGCAAAATGCCCCAAGGAGGATTCCGTGGGAGGCTGCCGAAACCAGGTTGATCCTGGCTTACCCCACCCCTGCACACGCCTCTCTCTCGGCTTGCTTCTTACACTCCTGTGCCAGGCTGCGGACACCCAGAGCGCGCTGAAAAACCCCTCTGGCAGAGTCCCAGCCCACCTCCCCGCCGCACCTAACATTCAAAAAACAGGGTCAATTCTGCACCTCCAAAAGGGCGAAGGCTGTCCTGCACTGCTCGGTTTTGCTCCCGAGTCACGCTGTGCAGCAAAGTAGATCAGCCACGCAATGCAAGACGCTCGGTACTCATTTAACATACTTTTTAATACACGGACTCATTTGGGTCGTACAAGCCGTACCCCAACCGCCACACACCCTGTGCCCTCCCAATGTGCCACCTAATGCATGCGCCAGCTCCGCTGCAGGACCTTGCCGAGACATTTAAGGCAGGCCCAGCCCCACGCGCAGCCCTTTACACGCAGATCCACAGCACTACCCAACACCGCATTTAACGCGTGCACAAACAAACGCAATAACATTTAACGAGTAGATTTAGTGAACTACTCGACGGCTGTCGCGGCGCGGTTTAAGGCACCGCTCCCGGCACGTTGCGCGCTCACCGCTCCGCCATCGCCTCCCGCGGGAAGGGCGGCACCAACGTGGGCAGGAAACACGCGGTGTCGCGGGGCTGACGCCACGCGGGGGCGGGACGGGAAGGGACCGGGGATCGGGATTGGTGTCGGGATGGGATCGGGCAGAGCCGCCGCCGCGATGTCGGTGAACGCGGACCTGCGGAGGGAGCGCGCCGCCGCCACCTTCCAGCCCGAGCTGCTCACCCACATCCTTGACGGCGGCCCTGAGCGCACCCGCCGCCGCAAGGAGATCGGTGAGGGAGGGCCGGGGCCGTGCGGACGGGGAGAGACAGCCCCGGTCAGGGCTCGGAGGGCGAGAAGGACACGCGGGGTGGGAAGGGGAGACCCAGGGAGAGCGGATGCAGGGCGGGGTGAGGAGGTGGGGAGCCTCGGGGAGGTGAGGGGGTCGTGGGGCGGGAGACGGTGTGGAGGAGCTTTTGTGGAGCCCAAGGAGAAGAGAAGCTGTGAGGAGAGGGTTTGCAGGTGGAGGGTCAGCGTAAAGGACGGGGTTAGAGAGGAACAGGAGCTGCGTTGCGTGCCTGGTCCCCCTCTTTTCCCCAGGAGGGATATAGGGTGTCCCTGATAAAGCAGTGTCCTTTTTCTTCTCTGTTTCCCCTTCCTCCAGAGGGTAGTGACGGCTTCCCATGGGCATTTCTCATGGGCTTTGTCCTCTCCTTTTTCCTTCCTAGCACGCTCTTGCCCAGCAGTACAAATGTAATGTTTGTCACCCAGCACAATGTGGTTATGACAGATTAATGAGCTATTTCTAGGCTCTTTTCTGGTTTGGGACTGTCAGAGGCTGGTGTTGTGTAACTTCACTGCCAAAGGGGGGACACAAAAAGTCTGTATTCTCTGGGCACCTTGTTTTCCAGTTGGCACGGTGGGAATAATAACTGTGCCCTTCTGCTGGAGTTACGTGAGGATCAGAGTTCAGGAGGCTGCCCGAGCCTCTCAGGCTGTTGCTGGGGGGCCTGGCTGGTCTTACATCAGGGAATTGCCCTCCTGCCAAGTCCTGAGTGCTTTGAACTGAAAATGGGGTTTATGTGTGCAATGAGAGTGCCAGCAGTTGAGCTCTCAAAGAGCTTTGATTTCATTCTCATTTCGTCAACCTCTAATTTTGTTTTCAATTTTCTGATACCTGTACCTTGAGGTAGAGCAGGTAAAATGCTGGGTCGTTGCTTGCCCTCTGCTGAGGTTTGTGGAAACTGAGCGTGTTTTCCTCTTCTGTTCTGTCCCCAGAGGCCTTAGTTCTTAATGACCCTGACTTCCAGCACGAGGATTTGAACTTCCTGTCCCGTAGCCAACGCTATGAGCAAGCCATCAGGAAGAGCTCCTTGATGGTGATGAAGCTAAGGGAATATGGAATTGCAGATCCCGAGGAGATCTACTGGTTTAAAAGGTACTTAAAAAGATCCAGAGTTTGCTCTTTGTACTTCAGTCATCACCAAGGATGCTATGGTTGTGCTTTTTTTCCTATGTTTGTTGTTTAAAGGAAGCTCAAAACCTGTATAAAAGCCCACTCAATTACTGGCTTCAGTAATTTCAGATTAAACCCTGAATTCCTGAATGTTGTGTTTTCTTAGGTTTTTTTTTTTTAAGAGAAATGCGACATTAACAATTATACCGTGTTCTTTATGTGTGGTGCAGAAACTAAAAAAACAGAACTTGAAGTCAGATTTTTTTTTTTCCAAAAGGAATAACTTTGACTCTGAATAGATCTGATGAGTTTGCAGCTTCTGATGAAATCTCTAAAAGCTGATTACTTCACTTTGCACTTAGACCCAATAAAGTCACATTACAGAGACATTTGAAACTATTCCAGGATGGTTTGTAAATTCTTGTGTATCACTGTCTTTTCTGGGTCCCTCCTCTTAAGCTCCAGAGGTTCTCCTTGACCCAGAGGCTTTTTGTTGTACCTGACCTTTGGTTTATCTGATAGTACCACCTTTGGATCAAGTTAATGAAAATAAGACTGTCTTTACATCTGAGATTTCATTCCTTGCAGAAGAAATTAGAACTCAGTTTCTGATTTTGATGCATCTCTCCCCCTGATTCTGTTAAACTCTTTCTGATTTAATCAAACAGAAACTGATAACAGGAGTTACACAGATGTAGAAATCTCTCGTAATCCCATGGATATCCTCTGGCACATTAAATAATGAACCACAAGCCCCCTCTGACTGGTTTTGTAGAAAAGCTGTCATGGGCCCCAAGGCATGACCCTTGGCACTAGGAAATTGAAGTTATCTTGTCTACTGTGGTTTTACTTTCAGAGAAACTGGTCTGCACTAACCCGTGTCATGAAAGTTCTTGTGAAAATAATGTAAATAATTTGAAAGTCATCATTGGTGGACAGTGATAACAGAGAGCAAGTTCAGTGACAGTAGTGGGTTATTCAGATGCTGCACAGCCAAAGTTAATAATTAATTTTTTTTCCTACACAAGGTTTATTGAAAGTGATGGGAAAGTTTCTTCATTTATTTATTTATTTCTACAGAGAAAATTCAGCAAAGTCTATCCAGTCTATCAGATGGAAGATTTTAACAATTTTTCTGTCTTTTTGTAACATTAATAGCAATATTATATGAAAACGGTCTTTTTTGAAGTGGTCAAATGAGAGATTCTAGTCTTTTCTTTCTATAAACTTACTTTGGAGTCAGCAATACTTGGGTGAATGAAAGTGTAATAAATATTTCATACAGATACCAAATAGTGCCTCCATATCTAACGTGGCATGACTGGTCAGGTGTGACTAGTCAGAATTCACAGTCCAAATCCAATGGAAACAATAAAAAAGGCTTACTTTTTTCTAAGGTAAAATCTAATTGCCACCATTCAGGATTTCAAAATATAATTGCAATTACTGTAGACTGAGCGTATTTGCCATTTTAAATTTATTTCATATACCATATTTATTCTGTAATAATGTGCAACAGAATGAAGAGCAGTGCATAAACTTGTTGCCTGCAGGTGAAGTGTGTTTGCTCTAAGAACTGCACACTTGATATTCTGAAATTACTCCTTTACTATAATGTGTGGTGCTGGCAAGGGAGGATGTGGGCTTGCTGTTATTTAAAAAAATTGATTAAATGAAGGAGTTATTTTTTTTGTCCTTTGATTTCCTTTGCATTTTAACATCTGTCCCCACTTTCCCACCTGCTGAGTGTTAAATATTTTTTAAATTTGGTGAACTGCACCCAACTGATAAAATTATGCTTGTTTCTATCTCATATCTGAACATGTTAATTGATGCTAACTGAAAATGACTTCATTAGTGTAAAACCTGACCTGGAGAAAGTGTGTTTGGGCTTATTCATTTTTCCAAACTGAAAACTGAATGGATATGGTGTTGCAACATGACTCAAATTAAGTTTATGAAATAGACTGATCTCCTTGATTCAGAGGTCAAGTTGTATTTATTGTGATTGACGTTTCCACTTATGGAAGCTTAAGAAATTTTGTCAGTTATCCCCAAAATGCAGGGACAGATTTAAATATGTAATTTTGAAGATTTTTTTCCTGTAGCTTTCCTAAAGTGCCAGAATGTCTCTAGGTAGCTTTGCACATAACTCACCAACTTTATAGCTTGATTTATGAGTAGGTGAAGAGAAATTCTGCTTCCCTCACTGCCCTGAAGACAAAGTTACTGCTGCTGCTGTGACATGTCCAAGTGAATGCTCCTCCTATCTATTTCCAAAGGGCTTTGTTGGACTCCAAATCATAAAAGGATCTATTAAATATACTTAAGTGCTTTTCATGTAGTAATTCTTCTATGTCCACACTGCAGTTGCAGCTGTTGTGACTACAGCTTTGAAGCCCATCAGCCTAAAAGTGCCAGTATTTCAGATTTCTTTTACAGTCTAACTGCAGCAAAATCTAAATCATCATGAAAAATGGGAAATGTGTCTGGTGTAATGCTCCAATGCTCTTGGAAGAGAGTGAGCTGCTCAGTTTTAATTCACCTTCAACTTTAATTAACTTTCATTGAGGAAAACAGGATTAAACAAAGAAATGAAAAACAGTTGAGACAAACTGGGTCACAGAAGAAGAGAAGATCTGAGAGCTGCTGTTCACCAAATGATTCCTGTGTTCATAAGCATTGCATGAATGTCCACTTTCCCTGCTGGAATTTGTTCTTACATCTCTAAATTCAGACCCAGTTTTGAGCAAATCAAAATAGTAGAACTCTACTATGGGCCCTACTTGGCATTGCTAAATTAATACAGAGTGAATGAGTCTGGCTTGATCTTACTTTTGATAAAGCTGGAACAGGAGTTTATTGCCAGAGCAGTTGTTAGCTCTGAAGCCCAGTTAGCACAGCTCAAACACAGCTCCTGCTACTTCTCCACTGGGATGACCCTTCATGCTCATCCTTGAAAATGTTACTTTAAGAACTGCCCAAAGCAGGTTTGCACACAGACTAATGTAAAGTAAATGCTCCTGTTCTGTGCCCAGTTCTGCAGCCTGAGGACGGCTTTGCAGTTGTTCCTGTAGCTTTGGAGCCTCTGAACACACAGGCTTTGCTTCTGTCATCCTCTGTGCACTTTGAGACAGTGACACACCTGTCACATAAATGCCTTTTTACTGTGTGGGTGGCACTGGTTGCTGTGAAATGTGAGAAGATCTGTATTGCCAAAGCACATATTACTACACAGCCTTCTCCAAGAAGTGGATTTGGTGCTTTGTCCTCATTGTGCCACTGGTTGTTGTAGCGAGGCTGACCTCAGAGCAGCTGGGCATTGATCAGATGGTCACTGCCACAATCAGTCTTGATGGAGCAGAGTATTTGAGCAGTTACACACTGCAGCCTTTGGAGAACAGCCAATCCAGGTGCTGGGAGTGTTGAAATTGTAATGGGAAGCAGTAAGAGTTCAGAGAAAGAAACAGAAGGGAAGAAGACCTGTTGTTCCTCCTTCACAGCTGGTATCTCTTCTGTTTGCCCTGTATCTTGAGGAAAACAGGATTCTCTCTCATTGTCATGCAAGTTGAAAGGCCCATTAAGGAAATCCTAAATCTTCAGTGTGGAATACACAGAGATGAACAGTTTCTGCTGTAATTTAATTTTCAGCTTAGTTAATTCAAGAAGCTGTTAAAATGCTGCATGATTGGCTACAGAA